GGGGATTTCAGCCATGGGGGGGTATCTGAAGCCATCAGGAAGGTATTTAGGTAGTTTTTGAAGGGGATTTCAGCCATGGGGGGTATCTGAAGCCATCAGGAAGGTATTTAGGTAGTTTTTGAAGGGGATTTCAGCCATGGGGGGTATCTGAAGCCATCAGGAAGGTATTTAGGTAGTTTTTGAAGGGGATTTCAGCCATGGGGGTATCTGAAGCCATCAGGAAGGTATTTAGGTAGTTTTTGAAGGGGATTTCAGCCATGGGGGTATCTGAAGCCATCAGGAAGGTATTTAGGTAGTTTTTGAAGGGGATTTCAGCCATGGGGGGTATCTGAAGCCATCAGGAAGGTATTTAGGTAGTTTTTGAAGGGGATTTCAGCCATGGGGGGTATCTGAAGCCATCAGGAAGGTATTTAGGTAGTTTTTGAAGGGGATTTCAGCCATGGGGGGTATCTGAAGCCATCAGGAAGGTATTTAGGTAGTTTTTGAAGGGGATTTCAGCCATGGGGGGTATCTGAAGCCATCAGGAAGGTATTTAGGTAGTTTTTGAAGGGGATTTCAGCCATGGGGGGGTATCTGAAGCCATCAGGAAGGTATTTAGGTAGTTTTTGAAGGGGATTTCAGCCATGGGGGGTATCTGAAGCCATCAGGAAGGTATTTAGGTAGTTTTTGAAGGGGATTTCAGCCATGGGGGGTATCTGAAGCCATCAGGAAGGTATTTAGGTAGTTTTTTGAAGGGGATTTCAGCCATGGGGGGTATCTGAAGCCATCAGGAAGGTATTTAGGTAGTTTTTGAAGGGGATTTCAGCCATGGGGGGTATCTGAAGCCATCAGGAAGGTATTTAGGTAGTTTTTGAAGGGGATTTCAGCCATGGGGGGTATCTGAAGCCATCAGGAAGGTATTTAGGTAGTTTTTGAAGGGATTTCAGCCATGGGGGTGTCTGAAGCCATCAGGAAGGTATTTAGGTAGTTTTTGAAGGGGATTTCAGCCATGGGGGGGTATCTGAAGCCATCAGGAAGGTATTTAGGTAGTTTTTGAAGGGGATTTCAGCCATGGGGGGTATCTGAAGCCATCAGGAAGGTATTTAGGTAGTTTTTGAAGGGGATTTCAGCCATGGGGGGTATCTGAAGCCATCAGGAAGGTATTTAGGTAGTTTTTGAAGGGGATTTCAGCCATGGGGGGTATCTGAAGCCATCAGGAAGGTATTTAGGTAGTTTTTGAAGGGATTTCAGCCATGGGGGTATCTGAAGCCATCAGGAAGGTATTTAGGTAGTTTTTGAAGGGGATTTCAGCCATGGGGGGTATCTGAAGCCATCAGGAAGGTATTTAGGTAGTTTTTGAAGGGGATTTCAGCCATGGGGGGTATCTGAAGCCATCAGGAAGGTATTTAGGTAGTTTTTGAAGGGGATTTCAGCCATGGGGGGGTATCTGAAGCCATCAGGAAGGTATTTAGGTAGTTTTTGAAGGGGATTTCAGCCATGGGGGGTATCTGAAGCCATCAGGAAGGTATTTAGGTAGTTTTTGAAGGGATTTCAGCCATGGGGGGTATCTGAAGCCATCAGGAAGGTATTTAGGTAGTTTTTGAAGGGATTTCAGCCATGGGGGGGTATCTGAAGCCATCAGGAAGGTATTTAGGTAGTTTTTGAAGGGGATTTCAGCCATGGGGGTATCTGAAGCCATCAGGAAGGTATTTAGGTAGTTTTTGAAGGGGATTTCAGCCATGGGGGGTATCTGAAGCCATCAGGAAGGTATTTAGGTAGTTTTTGAAGGGGATTTCAGCCATGGGGGTATCTGAAGCCATCAGGAAGGTATTTAGGTAGTTTTTGAAGGGGATTTCAGCCATGGGGGGTATCTGAAGCCATCAGGAAGGTATTTAGGTAGTTTTTGAAGGGGATTTCAGCCATGGGGGGTATCTGAAGCCATCAGGAAGGTATTTAGGTAGTTTTTGAAGGGGATTTCAGCCATGGGGGGTATCTGAAGCCATCAGGAAGGTATTTAGGTAGTTTTTGAAGGGGATTTCAGCCATGGGGGGTATCTGCAGCCATCGGGAAGGTATTTAGGTAGTTTTTGAAGGGGATTTCAGCCATGGGGGGTATTGATGGAGGTGGGAAAAGATGTGGTGGAGTGGGACATGTAGGGTAGCCCGAAGGCCAGATGGTTGCAGTCGCGAAGCGACTGTAACCATCTGGTAAATACATAAACCAGGTATGCCTTACTGAGCGTTGCGACCGGCTCCACGACCCATTACGCAATGGAAAACCGGGGGCTGCGTTGCGTGTCGCGACCGATTAACCCATAGCCGGCAAACTCCATAGCTTGGACCGTCCCTTTAAATTAAGTGTCCCAAGTTTCAGATTCTTCAGCTGCCGTTTGTCCCAAATTTGCATCCTCAAACATCCCCAGGCATCCGCATTCCAGCTCCAGAAAGAGGGAGAGAGAGAGAGAGAGAGAGAGAGAGAGAGAGAAACAGACAGACAGACAGACACCTCGAACACTGTCCCCATCATCCGATCGACATCCCCATCCCCTCAAAATTTTCTGGCAAAATCTCACTGCCCTGCCCTCCTGGACCAATGATTGCATGTGGCAACGAGTGTCCAGCCAGGGTCCTTCCCTCCCTTCCGATGGCCCGCTCAGCGGCATGTAAACAGAAAATTGGGGCTTGGCTGGGCCCTCTTCTCCCCCCCGGATAGGTCCCTAAAAATTCTTCAGCGCGCCTTCTTCTTCTGTGATTATTTGCGCACCGGGTGGCGCATGTGCCGAGCGGACCTCACTCACTATCCCGCCCGCCCTCGCGCCCTGCCAGCCGCACCCCTCAATTTTGCCCGCTTTCCAGGGCGAGAGGGGCTTTTCCCTTTTCGTTTCTGCTCTTAGCTCGAAAAAACAGTGTTCTGTCGTCTTGGGATTGAGTGTCGGGGGTATACTCGATTTTTTTGGGTCCGCAAGGTTCAAGATCTACGCGCTTCTGGGTGATTTTTAAACTTCAAAACTGGTTTTATAAGATTTTAACGCGTAGGTTCCGCATATCAACGTGACTAACGACCAAATCACTTTCAAATTCTACTCTAAAAGAGCTAAGAATAAAAAAACTTTTTTAAAAAGGTTTCACGATTTTTCGAGCCAAAAACAACACGGAAAAATTGAAATCGGACATTTCCACGCCTAAAACACATCTTCTAGCTTATATTTCTTCATTTTTCGACCCCGATGCAAACAACTTTTTCTAAAAAAGCCCGGTTATTTTTCCCACTTTTCTTGATCGTAAAGATCGTATCTTACGATCTAAAATACAAACTAAAAGACCGAAAACTACCTTTATAGCTAAAAAACGAATCTTTAACTAAAAACTATTAAAGCTAGAGGGTTTTTCGGTACTGGTGCCTTATCAGGGGGAGTCATTGGGGGGGGAGGCGACGCCGACTCCCCCCGCTTTCCCATTTTTTCCCTATTGGAGGCCCAATCGGGAGCCCCCACCCCCGCTAACGAACCAGAACCGATTTTCTAAGCGCTTTCTAATAACTCTATAAGTAATAGTACTTATACTCTTTAATAACGATCAAGTTATAGCCTCCACAATTGGACAGTTCACCCCCCCCGCGCGTCGGGCAGCCTTACCTTTACAAAAGCAGGCAGCGCCCGCACGCGTGGAGGCTCTATTTGCCGGCTAAAGGAGTATAGAGGAGTAGAGAGCAGAGCAGGGCCCTAAGAAGCCGCCCCAGACGCTCTCGTGTGGACCGCCATTGGCCCACCCGCGCCCCCGCATCTACCAGTTTGCCTGCCCCCTCTACTCAACTCCCTAGGTTCCCAAGAGTTGCCATCGATCCGCTGCATGTGACAGATTGGTTTTTGGGGGTGTGTGGGGTTGTGTCTGGTTTTGTGTCTTTGCTGCTCCTCCTTCTGATCGCGCTCATTTTGAAGGGCGCAGGTCAGAAGGATCTGTTAGCCCGCGCCCCCCCCCCCTTCAATTGTGGCTCGGCTCCCCGTTGTGCCACAGTATTCTGAAGTATACCAAAATATTCGCCAGGCAAAGGGGAACATTTTGGTCTACGCTACGCAACTGTACATCAACGAGGAGCCGAAATACTAATGTTGGGAATCGGCGGGAGGGGGCTGTAACGTTGCCTACCTGACGAGCAGATTTTTTTGGCTAGTTTCGAAGCTTTTTAGATGATTCTCGATACGCTATAGCTCAATAGGTCGTGCTCAAATTTCAAAACGAATGAACAACGATGGCCTTCGAGAAAACTCGCTCTCAAAGAGCCGATTTTTGGCCGTTTTGGCCCCCCGATTACCGAAGTAGAACATGAAAATTGGAAGATCGTGAGCGATCAGCAGTTTTTCGAAGCCGAGGTTTGTTCCGAATCTCAAGCACTATCCATGAGCTATGTCATAGTGCAAAAGCGCAAGCTAGAAGCCAGAGGCGGTTCAGACGTATCTGAAAAGCTTCATAAAAAACGCGTTTTGTGAAAACTTCGTTCCTTATTAATACAGCACCGTTATTAAAGTGTTATTTAGTAGTAAACGATACTTATATTCGATATTTGCTAAAATCCATCGCCAGCGTCGCATCCTTTTCTACAAGTTTTGCCCTCACGACGTCCTGATTCGTAAAGTTTTCCGAAGACTTGTCTTTGGATGCTAGCAAATTTTAGGAATCGATTAATCACCCATAAAAAAGTTAGCAAAAGTTTCATTTATCTAAAACCGCGACTTCAAGTCACTATCAAGTGCTAGCAGCTCATCATTTCTATTTTGCAACACCGCGCGCTTTTCCCCGGCGGAGACTACGTAACCAACATACCGATCGACATGTCAAACCGACACATGGCCCCTGCTTCTGCAAAAACCGCGATCTTGTCCGCCCACGCGCGCCGCGTCCACGTAGCTTGATCGCCCTAGAATTGACGTATGTCTCCGGAATTTCCGTTTCTTCGTCCTGTCTACTCTCTAATCTCTTCGTGTATCGACGCTCATTAATCTCTATGAACATATTTTTCAGGTAATGAAGGAGCCATGCTTTCGGTGTAAGCGGCCCACCTATTTCAACGACAAAGTGAGTAGCTTGTACGGTACTGGTTTGTTAGCGGGGGATCCATTTATTCAGCTTAATTCTTATTGTAATAAAACCTAGACTTTTATTTATAGTTTTTGCAAGTTTTTGGTTGCTGAAAACAAAGAAATAAAGACATAAAATCAAGAAGTTTCTCAAATTCTACTTCTTGATCTTTTTGGGCTATTTTTTAGACGTTGTGGAGCAAAAATCAACATCAACAAATTTTTGAAATATGCTTCATCGGCTTCCTATACTTAAAAACCACGTAAAAAGCTATATAAATGGGTGTATGTATCGCTATTTAGATCTTACGAGGGCGATAGGGGAAAATTAGCTCTGCCGCTAATAGCCCAGTACCGATAAACCAATATATTTTTATCGAACGGGGACGAAAATTGGATATAAAACGCTGTAGAAATTTGACCAAAAAACGAATGATAGAAAGTATAATAAACTAACTTCCGGCTCCAGGTTGGCCCGCTGAAAGACGGTTCCCTGTTCCACAAGGGGTGCTTCAAGTGCTGGATCTGCGGGACGCGGCTATCCCTCAAGACCTATCACAATAACCGAAACGACACGCAGGATCTCGAAGTGAGTCGAGAAGATCGTCTAAAAAATAGAATTTTGAGCTTAAAAAAGTAAAATTCCACATCATGCTTAGCGAAAATCAATAAATCAGCTGGCTTTAGGTTTATTGCGCCAGCCACGTGCCAACCCCTGGACCCCACGACCCAATCCCGCACAGGTAATTTTTTAAAGGGATGCCGACGGTATAGACAACCGATTACGCGCGGAAAAGAAAATGTCTCTGCGCCTCTCCCCTGTTGGCTACTTGCCAATTTTTTTGATGAGGGGGGATCGACACATGCCGTCGGCAGCCCTTTAAAGGTTCAAAAGCCCTTACAAATCCTCAAATAGTTTTTTTAAGTTTAAAAGTATTTATTGGCTCTAAACCACCTTTTTTAAGTAATGATGGCCTCTAAAATAAAACTGACTTACAAAAACCACTTGTTTTTGCAGGTCAGTTTTATTTTAGACTATGGTTTCTAGGTCAAATCTGCTTGTTTGGTCAAATGCTTCAAATTAAAGGTATTTATTTACCGGTTCTTATCTGCTTCAACGATTTTAAAAAAGATTCACCTTGCTAAAGCTTTAAAAGTATTACCCGACCCGAAACTTCCCTATTTAAAAGCCTTAAAGGGCTGCCGACGGCATGTGTCAATCCCCCCTCATCAACAAATTGGCAAGTAGCCAACAGGGGAGAGAACGCGCCCAGGGGAGAGGCGCAGAGACATTTTCTTTTCCGCGCGTAACCGATTGACTATGCCGTCGGCATCCCTTTAAAGTATTCACCGGTACAAAACGACTTTTTAGGCTAAAACGTTTAACATAATGGTTCTTTAGGATTTCCGGGGGGAAGTATTTCCGGGGAAACCGAATTTTTTCCTGGTTTTCCCGGTTGACCTAGTAATCAAATATAAAGTGTTTTCCCATTGTTTTTAGTAAATTTTAACTATATTTAAAGTAGAAAAACCTTTCAAAAAAGTTAGAAAAATGTTTGAAAAAGTCGAAAATTGGTCATTTTGGGTCTTTCCCCCCCCGCTAATCCTAAAGGTTCTATAGGATTTTTCGACCTAAAATTAAATTTTTTAATTAAAATGTGGGTAGTTTTTATGCTTTTTTTATGTCTTTGGTTTCCCCCGAAATACTTCCCCGGAAATCCTAAAGAACCAACATAATGATAGTCTCTAAACTAAAAACGACTTCAAAACCTACCTTTTTCCAGGTCAAATCTGCTGTTCTCGCCAAAGACCAAGGGCGAATACCCGCACAACATGATGCGACCGACGGGACCCGTATGAACACCTCGCAACCTGAAAAAAACCCTCTCTGAAAAGACCCCGTATTTTTGTGTTTGTGCCGCTCGGTTCTTGTGCCGCCATTCCTCAAGGAAATCGCCTTTTCAAACCCCCCGACTTTACCCACTTTCAAAATGTACACATTGCCTCGAATTTGAATAAATCCTGGGAATTACTGGGGGCGGAAAATGGCGTCCCACAATTTATTCGCACAAAATGCACACGCGATATCTGGTCGTCTTCTCATTACTGCTCGCCGGCTTGGTGGCAACGCTGGCAACGGTTGAGAAGACGTCATTCAGTGGGTTTTACTGGTGAACTGCTACAAGTCGTGCTTTCGAATTACCGGGGGACCAATTTTTTCCTATAAATCAATGCAAGCGTCTCTAAACCGTTTCTTTCACTATTCTTAAACCTAAAAACGTTACAAATTTTGATTATGAACTGTGAAATGTGCTATTTTTTACCGAGAAGTCTCGTTTTCGTCAACAATTTCAAAATTACGCATCTATCCCGTGCTGCCCTCTAGCAAAAACACCTTTTTAGCATTTTACACCGTTTATGGATAGAGTAAGCATGAAAATATACAATTTTCAAACATTATTGGTAAAAAATGTGGGGGAAAAATGAACAGAAAAGTAAAAAATTACAATTGTTTAAAATTTGCGCTAGGTTGACTTTACGTAGTTACGTTTTTTGTTGCGTGTTTCGTTACGTAGTCGTTACATACATCCTCTCTTCACTGCCGAATCCAACTTCCAGGGGTCGATCGAAATTCGTTCTGCAACCAGCTGAACCCGTCTCGCCTGAATGGTGCTGACGTCTACGAGACGATCCTCACCACCGTCAAGTTTGCCGAGTGTGGAAGTGGGCCTACTGAAAAGCACCACCTCTTTGGCCTCCAGATCCCCTGGGCGCGTACACGATGTCGATGTCAATCGTGGCGGTCGACATGAATCTCCGCGTGCAGCGCGTCGACCGCATCTGGACCAGGAGAAAGCAGACGAGCCTTGATCCCGTAGCCTCAAAAAAACCTGAATATCCGCGTCTATATCCGTATCTATAGACAACATACGTCGACAACACATCGTTGCCCCTCGACCCGATGGTCTACTTTGCACCGGCCAGCGGATGTGATCGGCTTTATCGCCTCGACAAGTGCTTCCATGCCGTATGTCACTGTTTTTGGCTCTAGATTGTTTTAATTTTTTTCTTGTTTTTCTACTCAAAACCTTTACAAAATTTAAATTTTTAACTTTCGAAATTTTCGAGATGGTTTTTCCGTCTAAAATAGCTGCATTAAATATAATCGACTAAAGATATTTCCTTTTTGATAACTAGGCATCTAAAATGTTTGTTTACTCGTACCAACAATGTAGAAAATGTTACATCAAAATATAACTTTTTTTCTAATTGTCGCAAAAAATTGAACGATTTTACATTTACGAATGATCCTAAACGGTGTTAAAGCACATCCTAGAATAGGAGAAAAATTTGAAAAAGGTAGATTAGAAAAAAAAGCAAAATTACTCTCCCCCATAATGAAAAAGCGCACTTTTCTAACCATATTTCGCGCTTCAGAATGACGGTTTTGACGAGTACGACAGCACAGCCGAAGTCGCCTGCTTCCGGAGGGCCGATGCGCTTCTTTTTGGTGAAACCGAGAAATCGTTATTGTTATTGTCCATTTTAGACTTCAAATATGATGGCGTTGACCTGGTGGCTCTCCAAGGCGTCGACGTGACGATCGAATCGGTGGCCAAGACGGCGGACGGCGAGATTTTGGCCAAGTTGGCAACAAGTATTCTCCAAATTCACAAATTTCAGCGTCACCCGCACCTATCAGCACTCTATCTTGTTGCCGTGCAAAATGGTCTTCGATAGGAGGGCCATCTACCAGGTAATGAGGCATGAAGTTAGCGGTACTGGCGTTTTAGCGCGGGGGCTCCCCGCCGCTAATAGATCATTACCCAGATAACGATCTAATCAAGCCTGCCGGAAATCCCCGTGCCTTTAGATTGGCCCCGGCTACGGCCGCTTCAAAGCCCTCAAGTCCTATCTGTACACGGGTGCCAACGCTGACCTCGTCGAGCACGACCGCGTCTACGAAGACGAACTGTGAGCAGCGCAGCAGCTCGCCCAGCTCGTCCCCTTCCGTCTGTGTCCTATCTCGATCCTATCTCTATCCAAATAAATGTTTTTGTAAGCACTGTCGTGGTGTTTGTCGGTTTTTGATGATATTTAGATCGTTCAGACGTGCAGGATAATTTATTATAGCGCCTAAACACGGCATAAAACTCTGGAAGCCAAATTGTTCAAATGGATAACCCGTAGATTACTAGTGGCTATGTAACGAATCGCAACAAATGCTAGGAAAAAAGCTAAAACAAAGCAACGACAATCACAGCTTGAGTCGAATCATCCCCTTCATCATGTCGAACGAGTTGCCGTCGTCGCTAATCGAAAAGACCTAAAAAAATGTAAAATTGAACAGTTGATGGAATTGTACCTTTGCGGACTTTTTGCTTCTCACACTCATGTAGCCATACTCGTCGATCCCCTTGATCATCACCCTGTCGCCGTCTTCTAACGTCACTTCTTCTCGGCTAAAAAAAATTTAGGACAAAGTAAATAAAAACACGAACCTGTGAAGCCAATACTTCTCGTATAACGGCTTGAACTTCTCGAATCCACCCAGCTCATACTCGAGCAGTAGCTCTAAAGCATTGTAATAGTCAGGAATTTCACCAAATACTCGCCTTCGAATCGCGACACAATCTCCGCTATCAACGTCTCCACCTGGAACTCGAACAAATGATCCTCGGGCAGCATATCGTTTAGGCAAATCGTCGGTCGAGAATTTGACACGTTAATGCCGACACCTAAATCTGGTCAAATTGTCGAGAAAAATCATACCGATGATAAATTCCAGCGACTCGTCCCGATGCTTACATTCAGCCAGCAACCCGCCGACCTTGTTCGTCCGCCCCGAGTAGAAATCGTTTGGCCATTTCAAGCAGAATGGGAAATCCTATAGGAAATAAATAAATATCAACCCAAAAAATAAACTTACATCTACACCAGCCAATTTATGAACCGACTCGGCAACCGCCGTCGCCATAATGTGCTGTGTCAGCGAAGGGTTCTCGGCTAGTCGACAAGATTTGGGCAGGATACAATTGAGCGTGAACATCGCCGTCCCCGGAAGCGCAATAAATTCGTTGCCGCCTCGCCCTGAATAACAAAATAAAAGCGGAAACTGATGACAAACCTCGACCGGCCAGTTGCTGCCTCGCCACAACGATTAGACCCTCATATCCTGGGATTGCCGTGGAGAGACTGAAATCATAGTTTGCAAAAAAAAACAGATATTTCCACCTTTGACAAAGTGGCATCGTCGTCGTGCAAACCGGGGCGTAGACCAGACATTTTCCTAACCGCCGTGCGCGAAGGGCACCAAAATAGGCAGCGGAATTGAAGGAGGGTAGTGCCGCGTTACTAAAACCTAATTAAAAAACAGCTCGTCTAAATTCAACCTTGAGATGACCTCAACTGGAAACAGTTCCGGAGTGGCGGCTGGTAAAGGTGATTCCACAATCTTTTCCGTTTTGCGTAAAAATATTCGAGGTGTGGAGCCGGTGGCCTCGCCGAGGAGTACTCGCTACAAAATCAAAAATTAGACCAAAGAACCAAATATACTTGTTCCAGTTTGCTCAACTCGGCTGCCGACGCCATTTGCAGATAGCCCTGTGTCAGACTCGGGATCTTTCCTTCACCTTCCAAAATGCGAATCCCGATCCGTGATAAAGCATCACGCACAATCTAAAAGAAACTATTATGCTAAAATTGGATCAAACCAATGAATCCGGTGCTAACAACTGATCCAGTGTGGCGTCCGAAAATACGGCTGATGCTCGGTGCGCACTGTTTTCCATATAGAGAAGGAGTGGGGTATCTAAAACCCAGAATTAAAAAATTAAAATTTCGTCTGCAACATACCAATCTTCTTCGAAATCACCACCCCAAACTTTGACCCTCCGACGATATCTTTCGATTGATAGGATTCGTGTACCTAAAAAAATAAAAAGCCAAAAGCCAAAAACTCACGGCGTTGTGCTTAGAAAGTGTCTTCAACGCTTTCTTCAAAAAGTTCTCGAAATCCTTCCCGAAAAAGTTTGCCTTATCGCCAAACGCCATCTGAAAACTTAGTTAGATTTTCCGAGCCTATAAATCAACCTTCAGCATATTCGCCTGTTTCTTTGGCGACTCGGCGCTTGTGAAGCTTGCCAGTAGCTTGTTCTGACAGACGAAAATTATCTTCCCCGATTGATTGAAGAATTGGTGAAGTCGCGTCCAGGCCAGGTCATCCAATCCGCTGGTGTTTGCGATCAGCAGGCATGTCTGTTTGAGTTTTTGAAAAATTAGGAAAGGAGATACCGATGAGGGTTCGATCCAGGATTGTCTCCGGAAGTGTTCAGGCAGGAGGTTGAATACCGTGTAAACATCGGCCGGGATGAAGCGCGACAAGCAGTCACGGATTTTGCGGTAGAGCGCTCGGTCCTCCCCGGAATAGACGAGGATCTGAAAAGAAGGGTATATAAAATGTTATTAATTCACGTACCGTCGGAGGTTTCTGTGGGGGTCGTTCTTGGCTTGGATCCCGGGATCTTGTTGATGTGCTCATTCGACGGGGTGGCGCCGCAAACAGCTCCTTCCGGAACGAGTCGCGTCCACTTCCGAAAATCGAGAACCCTAAAATTGGTACAAAGTTAAAACCAAAGACCCTCAAAAAATTTACTTTGGGTTTTCCAAACTCATTTGTAGCTTCTTTTTTAGGCGTTGCCTTTTAGACAACCCAAAAAAGACAAAACTTTTTACAAAAAATAATTTATTGAATCTATACTTTGTAGCGTAGCGGAAATTAAAAATTCCGCATCAAAACCCTTTACAAAACGAATAAACCTTTCAAATGCAGTCTTCTTCCCAAAAAAAAGTTATGAAACGCTTGGAAAATTTCTTATTCAGCCGACGAACCTCTCGAATGGAAGCGATGCTCCCCTGTAGAGATCTTTTGCAAGATTTCAAGGGCTCCCGGGGCGAGTCGCGATATTTTCGCTGATCGCCCCCAGGAATACATAGCGTGTTTGACGGGAAGTGCTTGCAAAAAGGCGCAGAAAAGAAGGGTAAGAGAGCGCGAAGGCGGAGAGAAACCCCCGTTTTTGTTGTCAACAACACGATATGAGACCCGGATTTTCATGTGATTGTAAAACGCACCAATAGTGTTCCCACGCTTCTTCACATTTCCGTTTCTTTCTTTCAGCTTTGGCGAGAGCGATCGGCCTCTCGAACCTAAATAGTATGAAGGTTTTGGTACTTTTGAAGTAGTGTTTGCAGCGAAAATGCCAAAATGGCGGTGTTTGAAGCTTTTTGCATGATTTTGTCGGGTAAAGGTTTAGCCGTTTTTTCCAGCGAAGTTTAAGATTGCTGTGCTAGAACCCTTTCCAAAAATGAGAACCCTTTCCCCACCGATAAGGTATCAGTACCCGCATGTCCTTCGCTTCGGAAAATCATACCATCAAGTTCGTCGTCTGACATTTGCGGCATATAAGAGTGCCTCCTCCTTTTCAGTAATTCAAAAGTCGTTAGTTTTTGCAACTAAATGATTCCTATCAATTATATTTTTTTCAGCCCCACCTGCGGATCGATCGGGTCCTTGTCATCGTCGCGCAAGCTCATCTTCCGCGCCATTTCGAGCAGCGGGGACCGTTGAGGACTAATTGAGGTTTATATTTTTTTTTATTACTTACCCCCTATAACGCCCACTGCTCAAGGAAAATCCAGAGGGTGTTTCCGGTCTTGGCGTATTTAGTGGGGTCGTCTGAATTTAAATGGCACTCAGAAATTCTCCAATTACCGTTGCGCCATAGTGTTCGTAATCGACGCTCTTTGAGTTTTTACTGGGGTTGATTTTAGGCCGGCCATTCGGCTCCTGATTCAACTAGACCATAGGTTTCATGGTGGCTAGCTGATAAACTGACCAGTAAAGCACTCCTTGGCGTTTCATCCATGCTGCAACTAGTTGAGTCCGAGTCGATAAAGTGGAAATCCTCCTCGATAATCCTAAAAAGCAGCTGTATTTTTTGCTTCTTTGGCCTTACCTCGTATCAATTCGATGTTCAGCGTAGTGTTCTAGGTTTTCGAGAGTATCTAGCGACGAATTTATAGGTTCCGTCAAGATTTTTATGGTGGTAGGATGTACTGCTTAAACATTGCGCATAAAAACTGGGGGTATTCCACTTACCGCTAGGTACAACTTGATCTGCTCTAGTCGTGGAACAAGGCTCGGTTTCCTCAGGGGTCAATGTAGAGCAGCTTTCAGTCTCCGAGTCCAGTGACCGTTTTGCCCTCTGTTTCTGAAAAGTCCGATTTTTAATGCTTTAAATTTGCAATTGAACTCACTTCAAGATAAATCTTCGCAGCCTCCTTCTCGTGCTCAAGCTGCCTCAAATATGGTGGCAAAGATTGATTGCGATAGCTGGACGGCAAGCTGCCGTAATTGCTTCCGCGGCCGCTATTTTGGAACGGCGGCGAGAGTGGGCCAGTGCGACGACCTAATCAGGCTGAATAGTATTAGAATGCTTACCGTTCTCGCGTCGACTCTCAATGGCCAAAGGACTCGGGGCCCGTGATCTCAGAGAACGAGCTGTTCCGGAAGCTCTGGCTTTTCGAATGGGCGAGAGGTTCACAATACTAAAATCCTTGCTCTTTCATGTAGGTACCCGGGGGAGCAAGAAGTGTATTGATCAGCGGCTTTTACTTTGTCCTTCCATAATCCCCTGACTTGATTAGGGCCCTGCCTCATTTTCTCCCTTGGGGATTAGGGGGAGCTCGTCACGAAAAACATGATCCACAATAAAAAGAGCTCACCTTGTTAGTGGGAAATCTCCGTTTAACGCGCCTTCCGACATGAATCTGGGCGGATGTAGGGGTTTTATGATTTTAGCTTACCGTTGCTTGATGGAGCCGTTGAAACCAAACTGGTCACCCCAGAATAGCTGTTCCAAGATCGGCATGGCTCTTTGTTGAGGCAGGAAGGAGAGGAACTTGAATTTTGCTTGAATTTTTAGTTGAGTTTTTTTTACTGATGAGGCGTTGCTCTCCCGCTTCGACACCAAGGCGCTGCATGTGGACCGAGTCATCGTGACTTCCGGTTCTTCCAACGAATAAGCTAAAGAAGTCATGCCCCAATTTTGCTTCAAACTTACTTTTTAGTGAAAGAACTAATGGGGAGTTTGCTGATTCTCGTAAAGCATCGATGCTCCATGCGTATGCCACCTAAAAATTAAATAGCTTTAATGAAATTATCCCCAGCACTCACATCCACAAAATCCTCAAGTGCACAGCAAAATAACCCGTCGCCTGTTTTTCTGGCCGAGAACGCGGCCCTTGAGCATGTGGAGTTCAGCTTAAAAAAATTTTTAGCAATTTTTTGCAACCAACTAAAAGAGCTTCCGGGAGATTGTCGGCGTCTAGTTTTTGTTTTGTGGGTTGCATTGAGGCTAGGAAGAAGATTCTGAAAATTCGGTAGTTTTACTTTTTGATTTTGTAAAAACCTCATCGCATCTAAAGAGTCTGTGGAAGAATATGGCGAGTTGAACTGGCAGAAGCGCCATTCAGCTGCATTCAGCTCCTACACAAATTTAGTTTCTTGCAGCTTTTAGAGTCTTACCTCTGCCGGGACCACCACAATTTCTTTGGTTTCATTTGCGTAAATGACACGTGGGGAGTTCTGAAAATTACTTTTAAAAGTTTTTAGTTTTCTACAATATAGTTTTTTCTTTAGTTTAAATTTTACAAAAAACACACCCTATTGAGGAACGGTTCCGAAGAAAACTTCACTAGAACTCCAGGAGTATCCAAGAAATTGCTTGTTGACGCCGCGCTTATTGATCTAGGGTTTGGTTAATTCATTTGGTTGCTTCTGGCCTACGGCTCCTCAATATTCCTGAAAAGCAGCATCCGGCCTTGATTCGCGGGATCTCGGAAAAATGCATCTAGACACGCCTGAAAACGGTGGTTGTACTTATAATATTTTTCAGCCTTATTTAATCTGTATGAGCCTTACTTTTAAACGGCGTCTCCTCTGGAATTCAATCACCGACGAAATGAATGACCACGCTAGCACAATCATGACGAACCGGAGAATATATTTAGCTAGTAACCGCCCAAAAATCAATCATAGTTGCAGGGAAAAGGCCGGGACGATGAGACGTATAGCTGGTGGCAGTGCACTCTGTTCCAATTAAGCTATTGTTGGCGTGAGCCCGATTCGGAAGTAGATGGGAAAAAGATGGCAAAGAAATGCTCTAGCAGCGCGACATCGATTTCCCCGAGGGGGCCCCAACGATGGCAAAGCTCTTCTCTTTCTCTCCCGTTTTTGGGAGGCACGCATCTGGGGCGGCCAGTTATTTTTATGCATAAAGCATGAGCAGCTGCGCAGGGGTGTTCCGTCAGCTGGGGATGACTTCCGGTCAGGCATCAGGTTGGGTTTGGCTCGTGGATTTTGGATTGTCTAAAAATTTAGAAACTTTTTAAACAAGTTTTTGGCAGTTTTTTAGAGATATCGTCGTTCATGTTCGTTCTGGTGTTATGTTCAATATTTTAGTTTTAATAAGCTTGGTTTCTTTTTCTTGTCTTGTAGTTACTTTTTCTTTAAAACCAGCCATTTGAAAATTTAAATTTTTTTAAATCGGGCTTTTCATAATTTTTTTTATACGGTCTCCATGAATCCCAGTAATGGACGCAAATTTCCATATTTTATTGTTTTTATGAGCTTGCTAATAGCTTCTTTTTCTTTACAACCGGGTAGACGACCAACCAGGCTCCACGTGCCCCCTTTTTCTGTCCTCCCAACCGTACCCCCTAATAGCTTACGCCATGGCAACCTTTCAAAGGCCCCCATTCCAGGTAGGCAACAATTCGTCTACATCGCGAAAACGTCATGGCGAAGAAGAGAAAGCTACAACAATTGGCTCAGGTAAAATTTCTGAGCCCCGCAGCTAACTAAGTTTTATTTTAGGCCGAACCTGCGGCTGTGGTGAAGGCAACCTCGAAAAAGGGAAAGAAAAACAGCGAGGTACGAGTTATTTTATATTTTAAAAACCTTTAAATTAGCAGCCCTCAACATCGAAGGAAGTTGCCGTCGAAATTCCAAGAAAGAAAAAGAAGCTGCCGGAAGCCGCTCCTCCAGCAGAAGAAGCTGAATCGGAAGAGCCGTCTGAACCTGAGGAGGAAGTGTCGGATGAAGACGAAGATGAGAGCGATGAGGAGCTATTTGCCGAACAGACTGGCGAGGTAAAAATTACTTTTCGTGAAATTAAGCCGTTTTAGATGCTTGACTTTGAGTTCGAAGCGTTTCCTATGGAAGAGGATGACCGCGACGGTATCGTAAATATGCTCACGCAGGTTGGGAGTTTCTAAAAATCATAATATAGCTTTCTAGATATTTTTGCATGCCGATCTGGATCTTCGCAAGGTTGCCGAGGCCATCATCGCCCAATCTCCGTTTGGTTCGGTGATCGGAGTGAGTTGGAAATTTTCGAGCTTATCGTTTTTCTTTAGCCCGCCGAATCGTCTGCCGACGACGAAACGGCGAACGTCGTTTATGGAATTCTGACGGCTCTGCCTTTCACCACGGTTTGTATTTTGTTTTAGCTCGTCAATGTTTTTAGGAGGCGACCGCTGAGATTCAGAAGTTCATCCTCACTCGAGCCAAGAAGAACGCTTCGAAGCACATACTGGAAAAGTTTGAAGAGGCTTTGCAGGTGATTCTTTATACGTTTATCTATTATCTATTTCTCTTCTTTTAGAAGCCCTGTCACTGGTTGATCAACGAGAGAATGTTGAACTTCCCGAAAGAGATCGCCGCACCGAGCTTCGCTGCTTTCCAGTACGTTTCTGCGTTTTGGATAAAATCGTGGACTTTTAGGGAGGACGTCTCAAAGATGAAGGACCAGCCGACGAATTTCATCTACATCCAAAAGCTGCGAGTCGCTGATTCCACAGGTTAGGAATTTGTTTTTAGAGCCTAAATTGAGAATTGTAGCTCCGAAGCCGGTGGTCTCTAATCGAAAGATGGGCAAAGCTGAGAAGAAGCGCCTCGCCGCAGCCGCTCTCGAGAGCGCTGAAATTGAATACGATTGCTTTGAAGACGATCTGTTGCTGAAGGTTATTTGACGTTAAAAAGTGAAAAGACTAAATTTTTTTTCTTTAGTTGCAACAAGGCAACGCGTACTTCTACGAATACAATGTGCAGGGCGAGATCGAAGCCGGTAGCAAATTTGCGAATCAGGTTAGATAAAACCAATTTTTTTACCCCGGAAATAGGTAAAAGATGGAAAAACCTTCCGCCCATATCGTCGCGTCATACTGATGGACCGTCAACGATTCGACGCCTTTGTTGAAGCCGTCAAGCAGCATTAGACACTATTTCTAGTATTAATTTGTTATTCGCACGTTGTTGAATTTTGTTTGATGAAATAAACGAGTTGATGTTACGTGGAAGCCTCACCTCCGGATTTCCATTTTTATTTTTACACCTTTGGTGCGGATAAATGCTTATGAAATATGGGATAGCTGTCAAATACGCAATACTTTAGCACTTGTTGGATGAGCGCCGATACATCGGCCATACTCATCCGGCTAGAGGTCAAAAAGAACTCGAAGCGCATCCGTTTCTCGGAGGATTCCACACCTCTTACAAAAGGCAACACCTTTCGCATCTGGAAAATATCCGTTCAGGGGCCCAAAAAACACCGAAGCGTCGGCCTAACCGAGAAATGAAGAAACGCAGCCCTCAGGTATGCTTTAAAAAAACACATTTTCTATTTCTAGCTGGGAAATGCTAATGATGCGCCTCTACCTCCGCCAACTTTGAAATATCACCAAGATGTAGGTTTTGGCCTATCAAATTTATCGATAGCGTTCAGGGTGCCCCGCGGAACCCAGATTCAAATTTCCACGGTCGACGCACATATTCTGAAGTTGTTGTCGAGCACTTTGACAGCGCACAACTGCACGAGCTTTCTCCACCTGAATCTTCAACTCGTAGTCAGAGTGAACCTGTTGCAGGTAATACAACTTTGAAATTTTTGTATTGTTTTTTCAGACCCAGAAAGCCTATCCTATTACTCTGGCAATCCATTCATTGAGAAGACTGAAGGGATACTACATTTCTACAAATACAAGTTAGACAAAGTATTGTTAATCGTAAAAACCTTTAGCGATGAAGCCCTCGCCCGTGAATCACAGTCGAGAATGTTGTGCATGCTCGGAGTTCCCAGCCAGGTCACTGCACGCGAGCTGGTTAGTAAATTTCCACAAAACTTTTTATTGTTTTAGATCTCCTTCATTCGACCCTCAATCGAATCGATCGAAAATATGAAGATTGTCAGGGACTCGACACCGAACCAATATATGGTCATCATCAAGTTCAAGTCTCATGTAGGAACGCATTTGGAATTAAGCTTATCATTCCATTTAGCACGATTGCGTCATTTTCTATGAAGAGTACAACGGCCAAGAATTCAATTGGGTCGATGCGCATCGCTGCACATTATTATTTGTCAACCGAATTGAGACGGTAGCCATTCATCAAGTTTTTTTACGCTGTGATTTAGGCTGATGACGAGTCCGATCGGGTCGAGATGACCAAAATGGCGGAGCTGCCCACCTGCGCGGTATTATCGAGTTTTTTGAAAATGTATATCACGTGTGTTGTCAGGTGTGTCTTGAGAGGATGGATGACGGAGTGCTGTCGATTTTGTGCAATCACACTTTCCACGCGACTTGTCTGCAGAAATGGACGGATACAACGTAGCTTTTGTTTTACAACTAAAATGTTTTGCGTACTTACATGAAAATAAAAAGCTTCATTTTTACAGCTGTCCAGTATGCCGCCATACTCAAACCCCGGAGCTGGTAGCGGATCAACGATGCACGGACTGCGGCTCCTCGTCGGATCTGTGGATTTGTCTGATTTGTGGAAATATTGGTTGTGGCCGCTACGCCGATGCACACGCTTATCGGTGAGGGTTATCTTTTTAGGTTCGTATTTTGTGTTTTAAGACATTTCGAATCTACTTCCCACACATTTTGCCTACAAGTTGGTGGCGAGCGCGTGTGGGACTACGTCGGCGACAATTATGTCCATCGCCTCATTCACTCCAGCGATTCTGGGAAGATTGTGGAATATCAACGAGGCGGGATGGTAATCGATCCTTTTCTAGAGTTTTTCAAGAGCCCAATTTTAGTCTGAGGGCGAGAAGGATGGGAAGCTCGATTCGCTGAATATAGAATACACCGTGCTGCTAACTTCCCAGCTCGATGCGCAGCGGGAACATTACGAGGTTCACCTATTTTCGAGTCTCAAAACTTTGTGTAGGCCAAACTTACCGAAGAGCAGCGTAAAGGCAGCAATTTTGAGAAAATGGCTCTGGCACAGGTACACAATGGTTTTTCCACCAATATTTCATTTTTAGATGGACGACCTGGAAGAACAACTGAAACGAGCCGTCAGCGAATGTAATAACCTGCGCGAACAGCTTTCTCAAGGACAAGCCTCGAAAACGGCGCTTGAGAAGAAGTGCCAGGCCGCGCAAACCCGTCTGAATAAGGTACGTTTTTCGAATTTTTGAGAATTTTTTTGAGGCGGTATCGGAGCTGGAAGAGGAACGATCGTTGAACGCTGCTCATCGAGCCGATCATCATAAATGGGTGGAGAAAGTGGTGGTGCTGGAAAAGGAGAAGCAGAAGCAATCGGAGGTGAGTGGCCAGAATTTTGAGTTTGGTTCGAAAGCAAATTTTCCTCTGTCCCCTTGGAGGAACATATTAAATTTAATTTTTTTTTTTTGATTTATTTTACGGATTTTTAGGCAGTGCTACCGATTCTCGAAGAAATCCGGGTTTTATAAAGATTTTTTATAAGTATTTGGCGATCAGAAATCTTTAAAAACACTGTAAAATAATTTATGATGAAATCCAGATAGAGGTTAGGATAGGCAAAATTCTACGTTATTTTAGGAAATGGCTGAATTACGGTCCCAAATCAACGACCTGATGATGCACTTCGAGGCGCAGACAAGAATCCAGGAGCAGCTTGATGGAAACAAAGTGACCAGTGAGGTGAGATTT